GCCGACCGTATTGGTTATTTTGTAGAGCCGGTGAAAATAATTCTGAAGAAATCCGCAGCTTGAAAGAAACCGAGACAGCAAAAGTTTTTTCTTTGAAATTACCGTCCGCACTTAAATATCAAAATCTTTTTTTTTTTATTATTACTCGAGTATCACCTCTCGACAGAGGCCCAAAGCAACACTCTCCTCGTTTCGACACAATTCGTACCGGCAAAATAATTCATATTTTTGTAAAAAAAAAAAAAAAACTGATCGAACGATTTTTCAGTCGGTTTGTTTGTTTCTGTAGCTTTCCACAATTAGGTCTAGAACAAACGCGTACTAATAATATTATACGAACACTGTGTTAATTAAAAATTGGGATTTTGTAATAAATAGTTAAATATTTTTATTAGCCCGAACGACTGGAGCGCGGCGTCGGTTATCTTACAACAAAAGTCTGGCAATCCAGATAATAACTGGTAACTTTAATCGACTTTTTATTGTTGTTTTCCAACGATTAAACCGCGAACCGAAAGACCGGATACGACTTAAATTAAAAGAAAATTAACTAAACCGTTTCCGTTAACTTATTGCCGTCGGTATAGGCGCAATTAAAATGTTTAATTTAAAACAAAAAATCGAAAATTCGGAAACGCAACACTCGGCTCGAAAATTATCCCCGTTCGTGGCGTACTTACAATTTACACACACATGGATGTTGTCGTCCATTGTTTATATATATATATATATATAAGTTACAAATAATTATATTTTATACCGGACAGACTCGTGTCCCTCCAAAATGACCTTTGTGCGTGTAAAACGACCCACGCGGTTATCAAAATGCGTGGCGATCAGATTTTGGGTAGAATTATAGGGATGTGACGACGAGAGGGTCGTACAAGGACGGTTTAAAAGTTTTAGGGTACATACAGTTTAACGACAAAGACCACACAGCACAGCAGACGGACCATAATAACTGTCTAAAGGTTTTGATGATCGTTACCTAAATCTGAATACGGTCGATTACGCTGAACATATGATTAAAAAAATAGGTTCATATTATTACTGTACACACGTTTACCGGGGATTTCGGCACACACAAAACAGAACACCGAGTACACACCCCCGGAAGGGTTGCAGGGCGATTATTTTAATTAGACAACTCACATACATAAATTTAATTGATATTTGAAACAAAATCTATAGTAGGCCGTTATTCGCACAAATGTATTTGAATAATCAGACAAAAAAATGTATTCAAACGAACCTTGGACAGCACAAAAATCATAATACTTTACAATAGGGTTTCGTCCGAAAATTGAATGTGCAAAATGTCGTCGACTGAAAGGGATGTAAGTGGTTTTACATAGGCAAAATTTAGGAAAAAATTGGTTTGCATGATGTAGATAGTGTTCATTTATTATTTGTTAATTTTTATAAGATTCAGTGTCATTTTAAAATTTAAAAATTGTTCCTATTTTATGAATAAAAAACATGGTCGTAACAGTTGGTTTGCCTTGGTTTCGTTGAAACCCGATTTTTATTGAAAAATAAATAAATGCATTGAAATTGTACCATCCTAAGTATAAATTTCCAAGTTTTTGTAAATTACTGGCTGAAAAGTTATAAAATATAACTTATTATAAGTTAGAATATTTGATAATCGGTTTTTTGGCAAGAAATTAAATTTTCATAAAACGGTATTCACAAAATATTGTTCAAATATGATTTTTTTACAATAGAAATGTTTCAAAATGTACATACAAAATTGCTGAAACATTGGAATTCGTGCCAAAACACATCGTTATGAAATATTTTAATTGTTTTGCAGTAAGGATAAATCGATAGACAAAAAAAAAACAATAACTATAAAATATATATTTTAAAACTTTTAACTTTTCGCTGTCTGGGAATGATATTTGAAAATTATCCAAACAATTTTGCCCTTTTTGCTATTAAATGTACAAACGTGGGAAAATTTATAGTTTTTTTAACTATTTTATGTTATTGTATTTTTTTTGTATGTTGTTGTAATTTGTATATTTTTTTCACTAACAATAACATCATAATATAATACTAAATTTTTTTTAATGGATGTCGAACTCAATAGTACTAATCATGATTGGTTATGTTGGTTTGGAATGTTTAAAAAAATTGTAGATTGAGTTTACACAAACTGTCGGAAAATGTATACATGAATATGAATATAATTCAGTATAATGTATATTGATATTATGTACTCGTTGAATAACATCTCTAAAATGCGTTTCAAAACCGCTGTCGAATCATTTAAATAAGCGCCTTTTCCCGCCATCTCATTGACATTGACATCTCAGTTCGTTATGAATTATGATCTATAACCGGCTTTTGGAACTCGTTCAGAAAAACCGAAAAGTTTCAAACAAACTTTTATAATATACTAAATAGGGAACCGAAACTGTGTTGGCGGTTTTCCAACAAAATATATAAAACATCTGCGGACTTGTCGTTGACAAAGTATGTACACTCTCGCGAATATTAACAACAAACTCAAGTGCACAATTTAATCATTTTTTGTTTCATCTATAAACAATAGATTAACCAATAAAAAGTCACCCAATATTCGTCAAACCGCCTATTACTTATTAGTTTGTTTAAATTTTGCCCAGCTATGGTCGCAAGTGTGTTTATTAATTTTCGGCAAGTATCACTCCTAAAAAAAATATATTGTTTTGTATTTATTTATTTTTAACAGCGAAACAAAACAATTTTTAATAGTTAATTAATTAGTTATCATCCAAGCAGCAATAACCGGTATTGTCTTCTTGTATAATAATAATAGTAATAATACATAGACAACGGGCATTTCCACGTTGTATCTGATACTCGGCGACGGTTATTTGTTTTAACGATAAAGAAGAAAAAAAAAAAGAGTTTAAAACAAATAATAAAGCGAGTTCCTATCTCGACCGGATCGTATTCTTTATCAGCTGGTTGTAAAATAATTAAAAAGAAACGCAGCAAAATACAGCACAATTATTATTACCGTGTACAAAACCGGCATTATTTTTATATTGACGCTCGTTTGGCTTTGCTTAAAAAGTTCATCCGTTGTTTCACATAAAGTACCGTCTAAAAACTTTAATAAACGTTTAAGGTTAATTTTACTACGCCGCTTTTACCGGGTGTTTTTTTCTTTTTTTACTGGCCGACCCGGAGAAGTTAGTTAATTTAACATCTCACGTTTGTCCTGGATTTTAATATATATATATATCTTTTTCCATCATGCAACTGATCTCTTTAAAAGATGTTTTTTTTTTAAACATCAGTCAAGGCACATCTCGGTTTAAATGTTATCAAATCTTTTTCTTTTTTTTAAGCGGTGCAGCGTTTTGGTCTTAAAGGTTTAGGTTTTTTCTCATTATAATTATATAACGAGATAATACCTAAATATTATAATAATAACTTTTTTTTACCGTATCGCTAACAGACAATAATCGATTTAACGATTTCAATTATGTAACATAATCTTTCAGAATTTCATGAACTTACCCACCTACCCATAAATAACCCATCGACTAACACCCCTATCGGTTACCTCAGTACACAAGTTATTTAATAATATTTGTATTTACACGGGTATTCCCGAGTTTTCTTCTTTTTTTTTTTCAACTTTTGAAATTTATTATAAACCCTAAAAATGTGTACAATTTGGCTCGCCATTAGCATTTTTGAGTGTACAACACAAAATTAAATTCTTGAATAACATTAAATTACCATTCTCATGTCAAGTTATGACTCTGCAACGGTGTTGGTCGTTATTCGATTGCAAAAATTATTATTTTTATATTATTATTTTATTCGTGATTCATTCGAAAAAGTATGACGTATTATCGTTTCTAATATTAAAATTAGAGAAAGTTTTGAGATAAGTAATAATATTATCATATTAATAAAGTGTTTTTTTTTTCTAAACAAAATTAATAATTATTTTATTACATGTTAATTATAATAAAAATGATATTTATAATTTATTTGAACACAAATTGCGATTAACTTCATTTGTAATTTATTCGAATAAAGTATTATATTTTTATTTAAAAAATTATGTTTTTCGATTTGTTCAATTTGTAATCTATTATTTAATTAAATTTGGCACAACTCTGCATGAGAAATTATCTTTAATTTGATTTGCAACATGATACGATTTCAATTTCCTTCTTTATATTTCAAAATTAATATATATTAACCTTTTTAATTATTTAACAAATAAAAAAAAAAATGTTTTCTGTACTTTGGTCAGCGCGAGTATAATATTGTTGTCATGTTAACACTACACGGGATGACCCATTTGTATAAATTATTTATAGGCTGCATCTTTTTTTTTAACAAGGCTTAGTAAAAATAAAATTAATACTATGAAAAAATATCAACACAATTACAATGATAAAACGGCATTCGGCAAAAACGTATATTAATTCTGAAGGAGAAAAAACACTGAACGAAATTAGTTTAAATAAAGTAATTTGGCAAATGTATAAAAAGAAAAATACAAATTTATATTTAAATTGCTAAAGTGTGTGTGTGTGTGTGTGTAGTGTTTAAAACGAATAAAAAAAAATACTGCTATCGATCCGTCGCGAAGGGACTAAAAAAACCCTTAACAATGTAGGGCGGATATAAGCGGGAGTATTTTAAAGGAATAAAAAACTTGGTCACATTCATTTTTAATTTACTTATGTATATAAAAACAGAACACCCTACCCAGGATGCGACAAAAATGTAGTCTGTAGGTAATTATGATGAATATTCGTTATGCGTTTTTGGATTATTGTTAAGTTAATGAATATAAATTAATTGTGTCTATACGGAATAAATTATCGCCGTTAAAACTGATTAAATTAGATAATTAATTACCATACTGTTAGCCGCGCCGCGTCGTCCACGAACTTAAAAATTATTATTTACTATCCCCTTTTAATAATAAAAAAATAATATGATAAAAATACTCAACGAAAATGTATTCAATCACTTACTTTGAATCCTTTGTACCATTCTTTGATGGTGGCTTCGTCGTATCTGGTGTGCGATTTCAGAAAATCCATATCCTCTTTGGATAGTTTGTCTTTGCTACCAAAACAGCCCATATTTCTGTAAAAACGAGACATGTTTATTACAAGAAGGAAATTGAATTCACAATATCAATAAATTACAGTACTGCATGCAAAGTTATCGTTTACGTCGAGAGTATCTAATATAGAGTGTGGTCATAGTAGTAGAACTCAATCATCATAGGAACCATTTTGTGTAACCCACCTGTAACCGTCTGTCTACCCAGTAAAACGTATCAATTTGGCGGGTAATTCAAACCATTTTAATTATTGCGTTTTTATTAAGTGTAACTCGCTAAATACTCTTCCAGTTTAATTTTATTTAAAATAACTTTTCAATAAACAGTTTATTTTATACCACCCCCACTACAATACGGGGAAATTATGATACATATGTATAGTATAAGTATACTTTTGAGTGTACCGCGTGCACAATGGCCATTCATCAAATGTTTGTGTGTTGACACTCGATCAATAAATCCTAGAGTATATACTATATATTATAACAAGCGTGAGATGTATAAATAATAATATATCAAAATCGCCACCGTACCCCGAAATTGCAATTGCTCTTCCCGATCGTCGCACAGACAAGTTTCGGGAATAGTACGCGATATTGTAATACAAATAATAATAATAATTTAGCCGAAAATTGCCTTATTTTTCTCCAGCTAGAAGTGCCCAACTGTGTTTCGAATATATATTACATACTGTTATAGTAGATATACAGAAGAATTCTCTACTTCTCAGTCTAAACTGAAAATTGCCGACGCTTGACAGCCAACATCTCATCAATCATTACGACTCGGAGGCAAGTGTTTCTATATTTCCACACAGGAAACGTTCAATTTAAATATCATGTTGGGCCAGCTCGTGGTCTTCTCCGTACAGGGCCTGTTCGTCGTGTATCTACAGCTGTAAACGGGTACATATGAGATAACAACTGTGTAATACAGACGAACACCACAGCGGTTGTATTTTATGTACCGACACAAACGGTTAAATTATCGAATACAACAATATTTTCAATACCAATGACCGTTGCCCAAAAGAGAATATTAGTTATTGCTGCGACGATCCCATCAAAATAGAGGCTGAGAGAATCAGCTGATAAGAGAACTAATAGTTGATAAGGGAGAACAAGCTGATAAGAAATAAGAATGGTTAGAATCGCGATCTTATAACCCGGTCTGGTAACTCCCAACAGGGAAAAGCGTAGCCGTTTTTTTCCAATATGGCGGCCACCGGTGTGATGTTTTACACGCGAAAAAACAAAAAAAACGTGTCGGTGTCAATGCACACCGGTGGCCGCCATATTGGAAAACAACGGCTGCGCTTAACCCTTAAACCCTTTACCAGACCGGGTTATAAGATCGCGGTTAGAATGATATTTAGAATATTGTTATCTCAAAATTATGATCTAAGATCGGCACGGTGGTATATTTTTCCAATAACTATCAGTTTGTTCTCGAATGGCTGCCAAAAATGCAACTTCGCCAGAATATGCGATACAAAATAAAAAGTGATCTTCGTACTTGGGACTGTTGTTTGGAAAGTGACTATTATAGTGACTTACTAGCAGTCCTGAAACGAATTCAGGACGAATTAGTCGTCTCTGTAGTGCACGATGGGTGCCATAATTGACAGCGTTCAGCAACGACTACCGAGTCGTTTTTGCCCGTCGCCAATACTGACAAGTAGTACAGTGCACAGAGGACGTTGACAAATCCGATATAATGGCCAAATGTATACACCTCGTATTATGACAATGTCTTATCGCGTCAGACGATCCGAACACGGGAAATTGGCAAACAAAAGAACCGACGTTTTGCGCTTCAGTTTTGTCTTTACAGCCCAGAGAATATCTCAAATCCGCCACTGCCAGACGACGGCAAGTGCTACACGGTGTACGTGCACATTATATTGTTTGCATTGCGAAAACGCCGCCAGTCGATAATACGGTCTAAGTATAGCCGACATTGTGGCTTTTGTCGCCACGTCCGGATACAGGTCTTGCGGTCTCCACGTCTGCTTCGTGTACAACAAATAGCTAGCCCGTGTGTTCTGTATTATAATATTATTATCTCTTTAGCGCCGCCGCCGGAAGTCAAGGTCTAAAGTATAATATAGAACACAGAGCTGCACAACAACACTAACAGCAGCAACGGTAACACAATATACAGTGCCGATGAAAGGAACGTAGTACCAGATAGACTACTGAAGGTGACTCCGAAAACGGTGTTACTAATAACTCGAGTTATTAGTTTTGGACTCGGAGATGACAAACGTACCGAAAGCAAATAGTTATTTGATATCGATTTTGTTTTTTTTTTTTTTTTAGTAAACAAACAAATTAATCAAAATTTAAACTAATAAAGATCGCCTATGCCCGTTGAAAAAGGCGCGATAGAATAAAAAGTTTAGTTTTTCTTAAAAACATTTTAAACAGAGTACTTTTCAATAAACAAAAAAAAAAAACTCCCACAAAACCTTGCGTTTCAGCAATCGATTAAAATGGCTTTTGAGCAACGGTTAAAGGAAATTACAAAATTCATTCGAGTGAAATCACATTTACAACGATTAAATAATCTACGATTTTGTTAAACAAAATATTAGGACACGACAAGAATAAATCTAGTTGTTTTTACAATACAATATTGAAAATGCTCATACATTTGAAACATAAATACTTTACTGGTTGCTTTTTTAATATGATTTGTATTAACTATATCACTGGTATTATTGGAATGAAGCCCACATAGATTTTCACTCTTTACATCATCTAGATTATCGAATATCGTTTTACCCATGAATAAACGTACCTTCTTCTTTTTTTTTTTTTTTTTGTACTATCTTTTACAAAATGACCGACCGAAATATTTGCAGAGATGAAAAAATCGTAATTGAATTCGGCGTGTGTTAAATTGACAAGACCGTTTGTGTGAAAAATAACTCGACATCTTATAAGAAATTCACAAAGTAAATGTGAATAATAATAATATGACCGTTTATCCGCGGTCGATTAAACACGATATTATCAACACCGTTTTCGGTTTGGACGGTGACAGCTACCGATTAGTGTCAAGTCCACATTATAATAATATAACAATAATCGGCCGTCAAGTCGATTTCAATATTTTAGACTTGCCGACGTTTATGACGTGTTAAATGGCGCAAAAGAATACCGTCGTCCCGTGGGGATATAATAAAAACAATACAATAATAAAATAGACAATGTATTATATAATATTATACTATATTAATAATAATACAGGTCTGGTCTCGTCACGGCGGTGAAAAAATTGTCGATATTTTTGACGGGAATCGGAGTCACCGGCAGGCTTTTGTTTAATAAAAAACAACAAAAAAAATGCCCGAGGACGTCACAGGCCTTATCCGAGAAAAACTTTTGAAATCTCCAAGAGTATAATATTATACAAAAGTGTATGTATATTATATGCTTTGGCCGGGCGCAATATCGTAACTTACACTGTCGCGCATCATTTTATTTTAAATGTGAAATATGAAAGGAAATATAAAAAAGCGTAGGCGTTTCCAGAAAAAGAAAACTTATTAAAGTGACTAGGATGAAAAAAAATAACTATAAATTGTTGTTGTCGTTTCGCACAAACGTCTCCTCTGTGTTCTCTCGCCGTCGCAATATAACAATAATAATAATAATAATAATTGTTTTGTCGGTCCAAAGACAAATGACTAAGACGATTAAATTCGATAGGCGATATTATGCGCGTATAACGTAATAACACGATTAATAGACCTGAAGATAATAATATTATAGCGAGCCAGAGTAATCGAATTACCGTGATTACCAGAGTTTGTGAATCTTTGTCAACCAACAACGGTCGATGTGTATAGTATGAAATTCAATTTAAAAGCACTGCACAATCGCCCTTTGACAGAGTCGAGGGCACGCCAAACGAGGTACTCGATCTGAGTGTTTGCAATGCGGCTAGAAACGATCAAAGCCGATTTCCGAATAATTAGCGCACGGAGATGGTACAACAAGTATTGTCGAAATACTCGTTGTCAAATATTATGTATTTTAGCTTTGAAGCGTAGCAGAGAAGATGATTTTTTTTCACGATCATGTGTTTTTGTTTTATTTTAGAGGAGGTGAATAGAGTGAAAGGGCATTTATCAAATCTAAAACCAGGTACATCACCTGCTAAGAGATGGCCGATGAGAAACTGAGGAATTCAGCTGAACATAAGACATATTCTGGATCTAATGTCTGTCCTTCAAGAGAAATATTTATTTAAATAAAAAAAAACGTTTTGTGTCGGAATACATAGCGGTTATAATATAAACCGCCGAATAGATTTCTTGAAGTAGCAACTCTGCATAGATTAGAAATTGTATCTAAAAGGTACTCTAATGGACCATATATAAATCCAAAAAGTTTACCTCTTCCTTTTTGAAATCAAGAAAAACGGCCAAATAGTTTACACATAATATTAATACGGCGCATCAAAGACAAATATTTATGGTGAAATTATGAAAAGTTTTTGGAGTAGAACTGCCAATTATATAATTTTTTTTTGAATGATAATAAATATATATGAGGTTTACATAATACACCAACTTATTACTAATAAAGATTAATATAGCTTTAATAAAAATGAACAAAAATACTGGATATCATAAAAGCTATAGTCTATTTATAGTATTAATTTTATTTACATTTTTCTGGGCCGTTTAAAGTAGGACGTGAGAAAAAAATGAAAACAAGCGTCGGTTGCACAATTTATCAGACTATATAAATTAGAATACTATTTTTTTAACGCAATTCGTTGCTTTTGTTTTCTTAATAATTCTCATAAAAATCATAAAACGAAGGACACGTATGTTATTGATAAATAATTTATGGTAATTAAAACAACGTTTCTGACAATATACTTGTTTAAAAAAAAAATGTGATATCTTTTTGGTTCTCAACCCCTCATCGATTCACTAAAAATAGTAATATTTTTTAATATAGGTAAAAAACATTTTACAAGTTACCGAAATTTCTGTTGTCAA